TTAGTATAATATTTTTGTATGTTAGTAATATAATATTAATTATATTGACTATTATTTTTTATTTTATATTTGTATTGTAATTGTACAACATAACTTAATTAATTTAATTAAAAAACAGTGCAACCTTAAATGGTTCTTTATACAAGCAAAACCCTACTTTTAGAACTCTCTACTTTCTTGAATGGTAACAGCGCATACTTGTATGTATTAGTTTCCTTATTAGTTCTTACTATATTTTTTTTTTTACCATCTTTTTAATTTTTACTTCAATTTAATAGTTTATATTATCATTTTGTTGTTTATAATGTTATTGTGTCTTATGTTATTTATTGTGTCTTTATAATTCATGTCTTCTTATTAGGAAAACCACCATGTTGTGCCGTCAACTCGTCATGCTAAACATGAATGAATAATTGCGCGGAAGCAAGACAACAGGATTAGATAGACCTTGGACTCACATGTAAAAGTTTCTTTGAGAGAATTATTATTAGTTTTGGTCCTATGCATCAAACTTATATCATTTTTATAATGAATCTAAAACATTAAATCAAATTTTAAATTATTTTTTAGTAAATTAATTATCACCTACTTCAACAATTAAAAAGAGAAAATTACTTTCTAATAAATTACTTATCACCTACCTCAACAATTAAAAAGAGAGGGAGAAAACCTCCATGTTTGGTTGCCATTATTATCATGGTGCGTGCCTTCCAAAGAAAAAGAAAAAAAAGGGGTTCAGTAGTTAAATATATGCTACATGATTTGCAGGTCCAGGATGTTCTTCTTTTGGATATGGAGCCATGGAAGAGCTGGGACCTTTCAGAGTTAACAGTGATAATAAGACGCTCTACCGAAACCCATATGCATGGAACAACGGTGGGAAAACTGGAAACATAGCCCCAAGGATTTTCTTTCTACGAACCCTTGTAATTTATTTCTAATTACTCATTACATACAAATTGGCAGTGGCGAATGTGATCTTCTTGGAGTCACCAGCAGGTGTCGGGTTTTCCTATTCAAATAGGTCCTCCGACTACACCAACGTTGGTGACAAGAAGACAGCAGAGGACTCCTACACTTTCCTAGTGAACTGGCTTGAAAGATTTCCCCAATACAAAACCAGGGATTTCTTCATAGCAGGAGAGAGTTACGCTGGACACTACGTTCCACAGCTTGCTTACACCATTCTCTCCAAGAACAAGAAATCAAATAAAACTGTTATTAACCTCAAAGGAATTGCAGTAAGTTCAGTTACAATTATCCTTTCCAACAAGCATACAAGTACTTTTCAAATACTTAGCACATGCTATCATGCAGATTGGTAATGCCTACATAGATGATAACACAACTATAAAGGGAATCCTTGACTACTATTGGACACACGCTCTCAACTCTGACGAAACACATGCAGGAATTTACAAGTACTGCGACTTTGTTACCGGTAACTTTTCTGATATTTGTGATCGGTATC